CGAATGGAGTTTCTTGCTCGTTCTTCTCCATTCGAATCTACGTTTTGGAATGAGCACCTAGCTTCACCTAGCTTCACTGACGGACTGACGGACAGACTATTATTTATTTTGTATTTGTTGACGTTTCAAAAGTACCAAACTATGGTTTAATTGAAATAAATGCTTTGATTTTGACTTTGACTTTGAAAGAGTGTGACGTTTTTTCGAGTGAAGAAGATTAATTTTGTCGGAATGCTTGAAGTTTTGCGAAAGAGATGAATGAACTATAGTATCTATAATAATGACTATTTTTTGTTTTTTTTTATGGCATAAGCCGGTAAACGAGCAGACGGATCACCTGATGGTAAGCAATCGGCGTCGCCCATGGACACACGGAATATCAGAGGCGTTACAAGTGCGTTACCGGCCTTTTGGGGATTAGGAGTTTGAGGATCGTTGGTGATTCAGGAATTGGGGAGATTGTGGAAGGGGAGGGTAATTGGGCCTCCGGTAACCTCACTCACACGACGAAACACAACGCAAGCGTTGCTTCACGTCGGTTTCATGTGAGGCCGTGGTATCACTCCGGTCGAGCCGGCCCATTTCTGCCGAAGCATGGCTCTCCCACACTTATCTTAATTAAGTTTTGTTTTTAAATGTCTCTTACAATTGAATATGTATTGAGTAGTGTAATTGGTTTTTTGTTCCGTTCTATTCATATAAATAAATAAATAAATAACGTCAATACAAAAAGTCGCCGGAGGGTGGTCAGCGCGCGGTCCACTCGAGGTGTAGTCGAGGTGTCTGCGTGCTTACGGCACGCCCTTACGCCTGAGAGTCGATAGCGCGCCGGAGCCTTTAGATAGATATAGACTTCAGAGTACTTTAGATGTGCCCGGGTATACAATACCTGCGGGAAGAGTAGAGGTGGTGGCGAGGCGTTAGTCATTAATCTATACTAATATTATAAAGCTGAACAGTTTGTTTGTTTGAACGCGCTAATCTCCGAAACTACTGATCCGATTTGAAAACTTCTTTCTGTGTTGGATAGCCCATTTATCGAGGAAGGCTATAGGCTATAAAATATCACGCTACGATTAATAGGCGCCGAGCAGAGCGAGTGAAACCGCGTGGAAGTAGCTAGTTAACACATATACAGACAATGTAATTTATTTACTAAATATAATATATTATACATACGTACTCTTCTAAAGTTAATTCGTAGTTAGACAGAGTTGAGCCGAGTCTGCGGTTTTCTTTGGAATATAACGCGCAACTTTGAATCTTAAATACATTAAACTTTGTATCGAATTTACAGATTAATTCTTAACTTGCGTAAGTAAGATTTAACTAGTAAGAGCTTTATACCTTCACAAGGCTAAGAAAATGTGGGAGAGCCATGCTTCGGTACGAATGGGCCGGCTCGACCGGAGTGATACCACGGCCGAGCAGAAAACCGACGTGAAACAAAACCCATAATGAAACAACACTTGCCTTGTGTTTCGTCGTGCGAAAGGTTACCGGGGGCCCAATTATCCCCCTCCCCAATCCCTGTATCCCTAATAATCCTCAAATTCTTAATCCCCAAAAGGCCGGTAACGCACTTGTAACGCCTCTGGTGTTTCAGGTGTCTATAAGCGGCGCTGATTGCTTATCATCAGGTAATTCGTGTCCTCGTTAAAAAAATAAATGTTTTTTTTGCATTAGCCATATATAGGGGATTGAGGACATTGGGGAATTGGGCTTCCTCCGGTAACCTCAAACACGACGAAACACAACGCAAGCGTTGTTTCACATCGGTTTTCTGCTCGGCCGTGGTATCACTCCGGTCGAGCCGGCCCATTCGTGCAGAAGAATGGATCTCACACAATAGGGATGATGACAGGGTATGAAAATTTTAAATCTAATCAGTCCGTCTGTTAGGTAATGAAAAAATATTAGACGCGTATTTTTTATTTTTTCGTATAATAAAATGATACTTAGATAAGTATAACGAATCAAAGTTTAGGAGTGGGGGCTAAAACGTCATTTCTACGTATAAAATGTACATAGAAGTGACGTCACGCGACATTTCAAATCAATATATCATCGAAAGTATTTGTTTCTGTAAAAAAATAAAAAATACGTGTCTAATGATTTAAAAGAATCTACCAGACGGACATTAAAATGGAAATTAGTTATCCACCCTTATTATACGTATTACTGTAGTTGGACACAGAATACCTACTTGGTTCAAACAACGAATCGAACTCGATCAACTAACTCGATAGTCACATTAGGGTTCGCTCGACCAGTCAAGCAGTCTCTGCGTAACCTTTTGCAAAATGAAAAGAGACTGATGTTACAAAAGTGTAGTACCACACAATACACATTAAACATAATATTTATGCCTAAAATAAAAAAATATAATATACGCCGCCATTTTGAGTGTTGCCATTAGCAATAAATCGTGATGTTGACGTTGAACAAAGCGGTTTATCGCGGTGTTGCCATACATGAAAGTGTAAACGTTGCTTAAATTACACACGCGAAACAAAATTTCATTTTTTATTGTTGTACCTACTTTGTGAAAAAGAGGAGTCGTGTGTTTATAGTGGTGTATTGTTTATTGGACTTTTGAATTGAGTGCTTTCCTTAACAAAAAATAATCACATTTTCATAATAACATATCATAACATAACATTACATCACGCCTTTTATCCCCGAAGGGGTAGGCAGAGGTGCACATTATGCTTTAGGGAGATACGACTATAGGTCCACCACTGCGGCGGAAAGTAAATAAATATTTAAAATATTAAATAAATTGTTTTAATTAAAATATAATACAATGTATAGACGGTAAAGACATTTATCATTGGAAAAATTATGACAAGAGAAAACAAAAGTATTGACATATTGTATTGGAAGAAGAAAATACTAAAGAAAAAAGGTGAGCTAACTAATAGAGGTAGTAAAAAGTACGAATATGAGGAAGGTATAGAATAATGAAAGATATAAATAAATGAAACGTAGGTGAGCAGCCTACAGCGCCATCTAACTAGATCCATCTATCGCCATCTATCGAGCGTTGAAACAACAGCGTACAATTTATTCTCTAATTGTTGAGTATTGTTGACGCCACGATTTCGTGTACATTTAACAGCCTGTCAAATTCAAATTTATATTGCATTAAAATGTATAAAACAAACAATTTAATGTAAAATGGTAGGAACCAAAATTTAAAAGCGAAAAATACTAAATAATACACGTTTATAAAAACACCCAGCGCCATCTATCGCTAAGTAGCGTAACTGCTACATAGATACCAATTAGTAATTCATGACTTATAAAACAGCAAATAAATGGGTCGAAAATTGCACCGAATAAGTGTAGGTGGCGCTATAGATTAAAGCGTGAGATTTCCAACTAGTAGGTAATTCGTTGACTTGTTTAAAATGACATACACCGCCATCTATAACAATATTTTTGTTTTCCCTCGGGAATATCAAATTCGGGATAAAAGTACCGGTTATTATTTAATCCGGACTTCTAACTTTACGTCTGCAAAATTTCAAAGCAATCGGTTTAGAAGTTACCGCGTGAAAGCGGAACAAACAAACAAACTCACTTTCCCGTTTTTTATAATAGGCATTAGGTAGGTAGTATTATTGTCGTATAAAAGGCTATTCGGTTACCTTTTTAATGTTGTAATGAAAGAAATATTTCTTATTTAAGCTATTGAGGGCTTGAGGGTTCGATGCAAGGCAAATACACCACGGCTCCGTTTCCTTTGCTCTTAAATGTAGTATGAATTGATACCTTTTTGCAAGGATGATTAATATAAAGGTCATCAGACGGCACGGCGTTTTTTGCTACAGAAACAATCGAAAAACCTTGTACGCCGTGCGTCGGGTACTTTCTTTTATTGACGTAATAAAATATGTCATACGACATCCGATATTAAGTTCATATTTAAATGACAATGACATTGCTGGGTTGGTGCCGTGCTGGCGCCGTGCTTATTAGGTGTGCGATGACTTTAATAATCATATGATTCCTCCCTCCCACTCGACTAATAAATTCTTAGTTAAAAATTTAAAAACATGCTTAACGTCCACTATACGTCCTTGTTGTCATCAAGAGAAATAGATATTTTTAATGAGCCCAAATTCGGTATATGTGCATAAATTCATCAGCCATCTTTCAATTCCATCATCAGACCAGTTCGGTGGTACCGTATTATCAATTTATCATCATAGTAAGCTAATCTATACGAGTTTCATGATGATACAACAATTACAAGTTTGTGTAATTCAGATTCTTAGATTTTATTACTTAGTTCGTTACAAGTCGCACTAATAAAAGCTTGTTAAAGTTTAAAAACTACCACGCTCCAACAGCATACACTTAAAGTATGGTATCTCACTCATACTTATGAGTAATATCAAACCTTTAAGCTAACAATCCAAACGTAACAAAATTAAGTTTTTACTGAGTAAGTTTTTCTGTAATAAAAATAAATAAATAAA